AAAAAAAGTTTAAATATAAGATTGTATAACATGTTTTTTTATTTATGTGTCAGAATGTCAGCTAGTAAAATCCATCGTGTCAATGGTCAAATTCCAAATACACGTTAGTATGCATCAAAAGGAATTTTTAATTACATGCCAAAGACTGTTTGTTGCTTCCGTGACGTGTGCCACGCCCCCGCTCCCTGGCTGGTGCACACGAAGAAAGGAAAGCTACCTCTATCCGATGATTAGGGGATTGGGGAGATTTGTTTTTCCTTTTTTTATATTATTATTTATTTATTCATTTATTTCATTTATTTTATAAAATTCAATAAATCATTGGTCCAGATTCGTTTGAGTTATTACCTCGTATGAGGTAATAGTTGTACCGTAGCATTGCCCTAAACTATATAAACATCTTTGCACTATACGTGCTGTTAGGGACATTGCATTGCATGAGCGCCATGGAGCGCAGAGACGGAAACACAGTCGATTAATCAGCCAGGCAAGTCGCCGGACACCGCTACAGCAACATGTTCAGGACTTCAAGTACATCACCTTTACTGCCTACATCAAAAGATTTTTTTTTTCTTACAAAACTCTCTGTATTGGGTACGTCCTTTTTTAACTTAAGCCCATGGCTGTCAGGGTATGTGCCACTGAATTACAAACTTTAGAGGAGTCAGCAGTGAACGGTCCTGTAAACAGATAGTGAAATGGTGTCACCGATGCAGATAATGGCCTTGCTTGGATCCACTTATTTTTCAGGAGTTTTTTTTATATATATATATATATAAGAACTTGTTTCGGGAGGCTCTGTGCGCTTCGGCTCCACAACTGTAGCAGTACTATGGAGAAGTTAATGGATCCTCAAATATATAGCTCCTCCATCTCCTTTATTTTCTCGGTATATTTTGGTTGGAGCCAAAGCTGTTTTGGCCTATGAACCGTTCGCTATAGTGACCGAGCAAAAGGAGCCGGAGCACCTAGGAGCTGTGCCAAACGGACACTAAGTTAACTTTTCACCGGCTTCGCACATAAAGAGCTTTGTAAAAAATAAGTCGAGAGGGTTTAGCATAACCTACTTATCCCGGCCATATAGTGTCTATCGCCACAACCACCTCCGCCCTACTTATCCCGCCCATATAGTGTCCATCGCCACAACCACCTCCATCACCTCCTCCTCCCACCGCTAAAGCCCCAGCCATGTGGGTGTGCGCCCACTACTCGTCCACCACGCTTCATGCTACCGAGGTGTCTAGGTCGCGCCGGCGGAGGAGGCGACGTTGCGGTCAAAGTTGGCGCCAGTGCTAGCATCGAATGAGACGGGAGGATGCCACAGAGGGAGCTCGATGGTAGAGGTGTGCTGAACCCCAAGGGAGCCAGGGGTGTGTAAGGGGAGAGAGGAGGCGAATATCATCAGGAACACGAGGGGAAGCGGAGGTACGCGGTGTAGGCAAAGGTGACCGAACGAATGGGGGCGTAAGGAGGCACAAGTCGTGGGAAGGCGGAGGAAGGTGAGAAGTTGAGAAGGAGCCTCTTCCCCAACTTTTTGCTTATGTAGTTTCACGTTTATGAAAGAAGCCCTGATAAGTTTGACCGTTTGGTTCAACTTCTGCTTCTTTTTCAACGAGAATCCACCTTTTTTAGAGAACGCGTTTAGGCGTGTATTTCATTAAGAGAAGTTAGAAAATAGTACAACAACGGTTAAGCCTAACGGCGAGTGGCTAACAGAGCAAGACGTTAACGCACCCGAAAAAAAAAGAGCAGGGCTGCAGTAGGGGTCTATTACATAACACGATTGCGCGACACAGCAATCTCCTGTTCTCACCGATGCCGGGCAAGAAGCAACGCCAGCGCCTTGAAGCCAGCATCAACCCAGGCGCTGCCTTCAAGGGCGATCTGCTCTAGCATCAAGGACGCCTGAATCTGAACGCCATCGAAGACCCGTCTGTTGCGCTCCTTCCAGATGCACCAGGTGACAAGCAAGACAAGCGAGTCGAAAGCTTTGGACATGGCGCCCGGCAACCTTGCCCGCGCCTGGAACCACCGTGTGCGTAGTTCGTCAATCAGTGCCGGGGCAAGCTCGTCCAGTTGAAGTCGGTGAAGAACGCGCCACCATGTCTCACGATCACGAGTGTAGACGCACGCGACAAACAGATGGTCTATGGTTTCTGCCGATTGATTGCATAGTGCGCAGGCATCGCTGTCCTGGAGGCCATGCCGTTTGCGACGGTCCGCCGTCCATAGCCTACAGTGTGTTAACATCCTTGAATCATCTAGCAGTCGGTCTAGAGGGTAGACATCAAGAGCGGTAGACAACAGCAACGATGTAGACCTAGAATGCTATCTAGAGGAAGGAGAAGGTGTCGAACCTGAGATCCCAGAGGGAGTGGATCCAGAGGCCTCCATCAGCTTCGTCGGTGAAGTCTGCTCACGGACAGCGACGGTCGGTGAAGAGAGGCGACGCAGTGGAGACGGTGATGCAGTGCAGTGGCGACGGGATGACGGTGATGACGGTGGCGGCTTCCCGTCGCTGGCTGCGCATCCTCTTCGAGATCGGAATTAGGGTTTGTCGGTGGAGTTTGCGGCTCACGGCGAACCTCGTGCTTTGAGCCGCCGGCCCCCACCTCTTTATATAGCGCAGTGCGACGGGGGCCCACCAACCATGTAGGGTTGGACGTCCCCGATCAGGGCGCGTGACCAAGGCCCAATAGGCCGTTGGGCTTATTGGTTAGGAGATCAAACTAACACAGTGGAGAGCCAACCAGAAGAAGAATTTCACCTTTGGTGGAGCGCTCGATTTCCATAGCTCTTTGGCACCCATCATCGTGGTCCTGCCGATGAAGAAGGAGCAATAGGCTGACAACGAGAATCCACTTCATGAGCAGTTCCAAACAGGACAACAAAATTGGCATCGGCAGGCGAGAGCGAGATGATCGTAGCGTGCCGGGCCTGTCGATGTAGAAGGAGCGCTCCTGCTGGGCTTTTGAGAAGGTCGATCATAGTTGCGGATCCGAGTCCCTACCACATGCCGCCGCATTGGCGCAATTTCTGTTTTCGGCCCAATTTCCATTGGCGCTTTTAGTCTAGGCCCTGCTGTTCAGTGATGGGTCCGCGACACAGGTGCGCCAGAAGGTCTCAAGAAAAAAAGGTCCCGGCTACTGACAGTGCACACATAGTTCAGAACTGACACTCGACTGGAGATGGAACTGCACTTTCTGAACGTAGTTAAATCACGAGGAAGATGGAAACATACCAGTTACAAGATGTTACCTGTCCTCAAACCACACCATGCTCTATTGGTTCATCTGAACTCATCTGAAGATTGAATGCCTTTCATTTTTCTTTAAAAAATATTCCTGAAGACTGAAACAATTGATAGATTTGTAGACGGTAACTGCGAAGTAAGCAGCGTCAAAGTGTAGACCGTAGACACTGCAGTAAAGGATTTCCTCCACACACAAATAAGAAGGGAGGGAGGGAGGTGGGGGGGGTGGTGAGGATCAACATCTGCACCAGAAACACTTGGAAGGGTCTCCAAAGAAGAAAATCCCAGAAATGCCTTCAAGATATGCAATAAACACTCAAATGGGGCAACTTGTGCTCAAACCAGGGGGCCAATAGATCCAAGATTTCTTTCTTAGTAACACTTGGACTTTAGCAACTAGCTTACTTCATGGTCCCCTTCAATAATGGTATCAGGAGGTCCCAAACCTCAGATAAGATCATTGATTATAAAAAAGGTAGGCACAAGATCATATGCTATGATAATGGAAACCTTTTATCAATCCCCGTGACAAACAGGGGCATGATCATATATAGGCTCCACCGTTCCGCACTGACTTACCATCTAAGAAACCACAAATGAACTTTTCAGACACAAAGACGCATTGTGCCATAGCACAAGAATTTATGTAAGAAAATCATAATGATGACACTTAAATATGAACGACAATTTTCAAAACTAGTCATGCATTTCAGTCAAGGGAGAACAATAGGCTATTGGGTTTGTTTTGTATGTGTAAAACTAGTAGCATCCTTGCCCAATCACTAACCTTGAGCATGCCAAGGTTGCATATAATTTCTGAGTCAGTGCGGTGTCACATTACAAGCCACGAGAAGATATCACTAGTTTAGGAACCCCACCACAGTACCCTTTTCACAAGCATGACTTATTGGGTACGATACATCTTCTATATATAACATAAAAGCACATACAGAGTAGGTGAAACTCTATTCTACACCAAGAACAGACTGAATAGCATACCAAGTCAACAGAAGGTTGCTAACTCCGATGAAGGTATACTGCTGGCGAATCCAGTGACAGTCCATCAGAAAAAGAGGAGACCATCTAAAAGTTTCAACCTCATCTCGTGATTCTTTCAAAAAATAACTTCTACATATAGAACATATATAAGGGCATCAAGAAGTAGTCAGCAGCTAAGAGGTTCATCACGTCCAGGCCTACCCTTTTGAGTAAGCATACCCTACCCTTTTGAGTAAGCAAACCCTTCCCTTTTGAGTAAGCAAACTCTTACCTTTTGAGTAACCATCCACGCTGATTAGTTGTCATGTCAAATCTTCTTTGCAGTTATTTCAGTTTCTTATGTTGCTTCTTTCAACGTTGATCTATTTCAGTCAATCATAGAACATCATTTTTCATTTATATTGGAGAAGCAAATACACGAGGTCTTGTGGGGCTGCTTGTTTTCTGAAAGAACGTCCAAACTGAAATGTAGCATATATGCATGAGTTCCCTTGATTATTTTATGTTCAACTATACGATACAGAATTAAATGAGGCTCTTCACTCCATCGCTTGCTATTTTCAGCATTCCTTAGGAATAACCCAACAGCATTTTCTTCTAATATGAAATGCACAGTATGCATAAATATTGCATGTAGACGTTATGAAGCTGGCTTTATGATTCTAAAAATATACATGCTCTTATTAAGAGTTGATTTTCAGCTACTTCCAGCTATCTATGTTCACAGGAAAGTACAGATCATCAACAAATGGGGCAAATAGTAAAATTTGGAAGAACTCTATCCCAGATTGGTGTCTCAAGGTTTGATCCTAAGGTGAGAAATATGTGTTTTGTTCGCCAGTTAGAATGTCCACTTTTGCCACATACATGACAAATTGTAAGGACCTCCAGGTCAAATTGGTGCTTTCAATTGTTATGTGCCAAGATGAAAAGAATTAACCACTTAGGAATCATATAAGCATCAAAAGTAATTTGATGTAATCATGATTCATGGCAGGAAGGATGGCAACAGAAGTTGAATGACCAAAGAAGCCTAGAGATATACAGCAAAATTCCAAAAAAATCAGAATATTCTGAACCAGAGGAAACTGAGAACCATCTACAAACTGAAAAGCTTCGTCCTGAAAGCTTATCTTCCTCTGAAATATTTTATCTGCTGTCTGTAAACGTAAGTATATTAAGCCAGCATGCATCTCCTATGAACCAAGTAATCTGATGCGCTATTTTAACTTGAAGTAAAGCATTCATCATGATCTACCCAAAAGCACACATGATAGGGACTGCATGTTCTCTAGAAGACTGAAATATGGTAGAGTGCAATTTTATGTTAATCCACCCACATGATATGATACCTGGTCCAACTCCATGGTACCAGTGTCCTTCAATTACATATTTTGTTCAACACATTACTGCATACTACAAACCTTAGATATTATCGTATATATGATTGAATTGCATATATTAAAACAATTTCCGTAACCAAGCATAAACTATAATAAATAGGTAACTATTGGTGAAACAAAATGAACTTTTCTTTTAAAAAACAAAACAAAACAAATAACCTATCAAGTGAACTGCCAAACAAAACCAAAGGCTTTCAATTTATCGCATAACTGTCAAACATTAAAAAATTATCCTATGTGTTATGGCCCAAAGTGTATCCTAACAGTGATTGCTTTACTGGGAAAAGAAAACTAGAATGCAGAGTAAGATGTCCCATCAGATTATACTAGGACAAGACAGTTGAGATGGCAAAATGGAACGGGCCTACTAGATGTTGGATATAATATTTTCCAGTACCCATTATATTTCATGGAATATTGTAAAGTGATCTCAAAATACGACATCTATGAGACTATGCTGTGCTTCTTAGAGTATAGGTGCATTCTCTGGCAATGGTACACTGGATATGTGCAAGGATGACAATGGAAACAACATGCTCAATCTCAATGAAGAGATAAAAAAAAGGTGGAAGATATTAGGGTAAAACAAATATAAATGTTATATACAGATAGAAGATGTTTATGTACCAGATCTGATGGATGCTCTTCCCACAGGCTCTACTATCCTGTGGAAATGTTCAGCGCACAAGATGTCAGAAATACAAAACTAGCCACGCCAACCGTGTAAGCAAAGACAAAACTTCCCCAGACTAAGGCAGTCTTTATATTTTAGATTTGACACATGTAATGCTCCCCAGATGATTATGGGCCCAGTGGCAGAATGGTTGGAAGGCAAGCTAATGAATATAGTGCAGAAGGGATATGTAAAGAAGAGGGAGGATAAAAGACTTCAAACAGCCCAGATAAATGCAGCCCTCTCAGTTGCAAGGCTGTCTACCGTAGTTGCAGGAACTATTGGAAATTGCTCCTTCGGGTCAAATAATTTGAGTGGCATGAAGATGCATGCTGCAATCACATCAGCTGCAGCGCTGGTGGCAGCCTCATGTGCTGAGGTGGCAAAATCTGCTGGAGCTACCAGGGAACAGGTTTCATCAGTCATTAATATGGGATTGGAGACTAGAGCACTGGGAGATTTGCTCACACTAACTACTAGCGCGGCAGCCTGTAAGATCAAGAACCAGACCAGCTCATTTTCTCTGGATAACATAACATGAAACCATGGTTCTTGCTTCTGTAGGTCTAAGAGGGGTTGAGGGTCTTAAGATGCGGACAAACAACTGTTCCTTGAAGGCCGCATGAACAACCAGAAAGATGCCACACTCCTTGTTCGTACACCCAAGGGTATAGCCAATTAACTCACCATTTACTGATTGCTTATCCCATTATATTACTTCATTTTCAATAATAGAATGTTTGGGGAAAAATTAAGTGGATTCATTTGTGCACCCATGCAGGAAGGTTCCATAACAGGATTGTTTCCGCACTGCAAGTATGACAATATAATACTAACATTAGGCAAGAAGTGTCATTTCAAAAGCTCTGAAAAGTGTGAGTACTAAATGACATTTACCATTGTTTTGTACATAAACAAATAGAATTCATACTAAAGATCAGGTTAAAACAATGATGAGCTCTTAACAGATAAATTTTCATTTCCTACCCATGAAAAAGCATTCCAACATAGCACAATGACAGACTTAAAAGATCTAGACGATACAGTCATACAGTGAAACTATAAGATAGAAAATAGTAAAATACAGTCATACAGTCACTTAAAGAAAGAACATACTTAGAACTACCCCCACTTTGCTAAGCAGGAGGATATTAAAGATAAGTGAGCTGCCAGAACTATGACGCATTGTTGTTTCTTTCCAACAAATTGTCATACCATTTACCCACTTTCTTCCAGATGTAATTTTCCACGAACAAGGGGAGGGAGAAGAGTTCAGCTATCCTACAGATAAACAAAGCTATTGTGCAATGAATCTCTCCACATCTGGTGGAACCATTCAGTTGTTATTTGAAGAGCATGAACAATACAACTCCTGGAGGGCATTCATCAGCTACCACATAAACAAGGGACGGAAGCTACTGAGTGCCTAGTTCCAACTTCCTAGCAACACAACACCATGTATTTCTTATTTTATTATACTCTCTAAGTTTGAAATCCTATCAGTAACAAATATAGCAAAATAAAACTTACAGTTATCTCACTAATGTAGTCAAGGATGATGATTTTCACTTTTGAGTAGTCGATTACTTTAGATTTTGAGAAAATGGTATTTGCCACTGGATTAATTTGTCTCAAGGTATCTTTTTTCTTAACATTTTGCTAGTTATTTAATATATCAAATTTGAGGCTCAGTGAACCTCATTGAACTAACATATTTTAATTTTTTTATTAGCATTGGCATCACAACTGGCAATTTCCACAGTTGATTTGACAGTTTTTTTTCTTATTACTTTAGACTAGCGTGGTGTCAAACTTTTGCAATTTCATCAAACTTCGGAACTGAAAACAGCAACTGTCAGCAACATTGGTCTAAGACATTTAGTGTTAATACTTTTTGTATTTGTTTTGATCTCAATAAGGGAACAATTTCCAGGCTACAGGAGTCGACACTAAAACACAACAGCCCTACTCCTACTCTGAAACTTGCCTAGACGAAGATGATGCCGTGCTCCTTAATGGTGCTCCTTAATGGTGTCAATCACGATCCTGAGCTTGCCCTCGATCCTCTCGTTCTTCTTGGGCTCATAGGCCAGAGCAAAGACGTCGGCGTCCATGGACCTCTCGGCGATGAGCCTCCCGATGGTCCTGCAGGCGTTGTCGTCGACAAGGGACGGGAGGGTGAGCCGGAGGTCCTTGGCGTTGGTGGTGGCGACGGCGATGACCTTGCTGGTGCCCCTGTGCATGACCTTTGCGTGCACGAAGCGCTTGGAGAAAAAAACATTGGGCAGGAAGGGACGCATGTACATGTCCGTGCGCTGCTTCCACGACTTGCGGTTGGGCCGCTGCTCCGCCTCCCCGCGCGACCGCCGCGTCCACGCCGCGCACACCACCGGGCTCTGCTGCGGCGGGTTGGCGATGGGTTAGATCAGCGCTACGACATCATCGCGGTAACGAATCGAATCGTAGCGTGCCGGTGCGTGAGATGAGAGAGGGGTTAAGAGGGTTCGGACCTGGCGGCTGCCGGAGGCGGGAGGCGGAACCGGTGGGTGGAGCGCGAGGCCACGGGCCGGCGGGATGCGGGAGACGGCGATGGAGGCGGACCATGAGAGCGACGATGCGCTGAGAGAGGGCGCGGCGCAGGAGAATGGCGATGGGGCAGCATGGCCGTAGTGGGGTGGAGTGAGGCCATGGCAGCGGGATGGGGGGGAGGGGGCGAACGGTAAACAGGAGAGGAATGGGGTTTTAGGCCGTCTTACCCAGTTTGTTCGAGGCTGCGTAGTTTTCTCCGGGACCGGGAGCTGCGTTTTCCAAGCGTGGAAAATAGTGTAAAATATATGGCGTTGATCGCACTTGCACAGAGAATCTTATAAATAAATGGAGCTCCGTTTCTTATTATTATATTATAAAACAGTTCGTGCTTTCAAAATTTTGTTTTCTGATTGCTTATGCTTAGTTATTATGAAAAAAAAATCACCCTGTTTACTTATGCTAAAATTTAGCTTACGCTGAAATATTATGAGAGAAAAATATTATTCTATGACTAAAAAGTAGTGTTGAATAAGCTCAATCGCATAAAATGCTTAGCGAGAGACAGCATCTAGACCTTGATTGGACAAATATTCTCAGCTTACAGAGTACAGACAGCATCTAGACCTTGATTGGACAAACATTCTCAGCTTACAGATTATGGGATTGGCCAGACATTCTCAGCTAGTCAGCTTACATATTATGGGACTGGCCAAACATTCTCAGCTTACAGGTTATTGGAGGCCAAGACTGAATACAAGCTCAAAGTATTTTTTGAGCGAAACAGACCAGTCACTCTATCTCAACGTTGCTTTGCAGTGATGCAACGTCTACTTAACAAAAAATCAATATGCTGGCGCACAATCAATTGCATTGTTACAGGCTCACAGTCACAGCAGCGGCCCGCTGTTCTAGAAGCCCCCTAGCCTCTAACAAAAGATTATCGCTATTAACCGGCACACCCGAGACCAGTGCCGGCCCTAAGGGTGGGCCAGGAGGTGCGACGGCCGAGCGCCCTCGCGGGATGGGGGCCCAAGCCGAAGTATATAATACTTCGTACCTTTTAGCTATAGTCCATTAGAATTAATGAGAAGATACAGCGGCCCATTAGCAAAAGGAGTCGTCGGCCTTTTTCTTTCCAGGAGGCAAGGAGCCGAGCCGCCAACACCCACACACGTGCACATAGCGATCTTGAGTCGTGACTTCTGGACTTCTGGCGAGACGCGAGACTGCGAGAGACGCAGCGCCGATCACCAGTTCACCACGCGATCACCAACACAGATCACCGAGACACCGATGCCCGAGTTCCAGTCTTCCAGAAGCCAGACGACGACGGCGACCAAGCAGCTGAGGCAAGGCTCGACGAAGACGACGACATCTAATCTTGATTATTGCCTTCTGCCCTTTTTGTGAATTGTAAATCTTGGTTCTGAATAAGTTCATGTCCAAATTGTCTAGGCCCTAGGTTTTTTTCCTTGTTCAATTTTTATCTAGTACTTTGTACTCATATAGTCATGTTTTTCTTATAATTTAGGTCAGGTGTTAGAATTTTAGAATATTACCTAAGAAACATTTATCGAAAGGGGCCGTCGTGACGAGTTCGTCAGAGGGTCCTCAAAATCCTAGGACCGGCACTGCCCGAGACCGAGAGTCCACAGAACCATACGTCCAAAAGTACAGAGTGAAGATTACTACCTTACATCATTTTATTACATACATGTATAACTATGGCCACGCTCTTTACCTCCTATGAAAAACTTGCCTCCGGAGTCTAGATCAAACCAGAATTTGCATTCCTCAAGTGAAACTGGAACACCAGTTCTGACAGTATTGATACCATGCATTGATTCCTGACCAAATATAATGCGCCCATAAGCTGCACTTGACTGATCATTCTTTGGCAGCTACATTGGCGCCACATCCTAAATTCCTGACATCTGAGATGTTTTCGATGGCAACCACCAACGTGACATCTGAGATGTTTTCGATGGCAAGATAGCCAAACAACATTGGGTTAAACAGAGAATGAACATAACACGAGATACAGCAACAAATGGGTGATGCTGGGGGCCTCCTCTTTTCCCTTCTCTGTTGGTACCTGCTCAACAAAATTTCCATGTGGTCGAGTTACAAGGTCTACCCCCAAACACAAATGAGGGAGGCATTTCTACATCCTACGATTCTAGACTACCAATATACATACATGTATGGAAATTACCCAATGCCACCATTAGTGCAAACCCATCCTCCAAGCTTGTCAGATCAATGTGACCTCACCAAGCCAGCAGCTTTGCTCCAGCCAACCATGATCAAGCTTGCAGCACATATGTGCACGGCTGAGCAACTCAACCTATATCCTTGGGCTCCTGCCAGAGGCAATCTTGTCTCCTCTTGGTATAGAAGGGCATCCCATCAAGAATAATTTGCTCATCTATGTTCATCCGATATCTGTGAAATCTGAAAGAGGTTCTAACTCTTCAATACCAGGAAGGAGACCAGAGTCACCCTGATCTGGGAAGAACTCGAGATCGTCGACCTCTTGCAAGAGATCCTCGGAGTAGTAGAATTCAGAATCGCTGATACCAAATTCAGATAGGGAGTCACTAATGTGGAAGTCAGCTGTACTTGGCAATAGTTGAGCAGGCATATGGAGAAAATTACTCATGACAGTTGGCCCTTCCTGATGCGATTCAGTAATCTTCTGGACTTTGGATTTGGTAGGTCTACCAGATTCCGATGCTGCTTTGTGCTTTCCTATGGACTTTGAACCAGATTTATGGCGGGTGGCATCATTTATGTGGAAAGCTGATGATGCCCAAATGAGAACTATCACCATCATAACAAGCTTCTGATGCTATCCTGCAAAGCAAAATGAAAATGATGCATTAGCATTATTTTGTGTAGCAGAGGTGGGCTAAATATTAGGAAAAATCATGAAATTCAAAGAATCGCTGTTTTATTTAAACTAAGATAAGAATGACAATGGCCACCACCATTATAACAGCAAAATATGAAGACTTGCGTCAACACTGACCTGAGTCGGTTCTCAGCTTGTCTAAAAGAAAGTCCAGACAATAACGATTGTTCCACTGGCTCTGGAGCCTGTTTGGATGGTTCTGGTTCCAGTATGGACACATTTATTACAGATGGAAGTCTTCCTCATAAGCATGTTGATCTTTCAAGAAATCTAACTCTAATTCTAAATAATTCCGCCAGTATTCCTGATTTCTTGACGGTGGTGGAATCACCATTAGTGTAGACTTAGCCTGAGCATCTGCAAGGGCTTTCCTAACTAGATTGAAGCTTGGTCTAAAGTTTACCATGGGCCAGTTCTCACTTGATCCACCAGGCTTCTTCACAGGAGAAAACATATGTAATGCACTAGAGTAAGTATTCGTAAAACAGCAGGGATCACGGCGACATTTTGATCTCCAGACAGACGAAATTACAACCATGAAGTGTTTCTGGAGAAGCAATTCATTGTTAGGAAGTTCACTGGTCACATTCACCAACATCTGAGCTTGATCCTGAAAAAAAGATATAATAATAATCAGATCTTTGCCAACACAATAAGGGCTCCTTTGGATATACCCATTCCCCATGGGAATTGGAGGGGATTGAGGGGGAAATGCTGATGGGGAATGATAGATCCAAAGGAGCCCTAAGTTTTATGTCAGCAGTAAATTGCAGATAAGTTTTAACATGGCACAAGCAAAGTCACATGTTCTTCCTGTTTAATTGGATTGAAGCTATGCTGGATTGGTAATTGGCCATAAAAACAATGTAACGCCAGGATAACACAGTTGTGGGTGCTTGGCAGTTACCCTTACTAGTATATCCTGTACCATTTTTTCTTACAAACTGGCCAGTCTAGTCTAGAAGCTAAAGATCAAGAAATTTTACTTACACTGACCCAGTTTCCCCTATAAACTGGGCCCATTCTCTTATTATTGATATAAGCTGGAATCAAAGGTTCCAGATCTTTGCGAAAAAAATTACTTAAACTGAAGGGTTCTATGAATAAAGTGTATTGTCTAAGGTATGTTTGCTTGCATGATCTCATAAGGGCACTCCCAACCAATAGATGGTTTCTATCTTCATTAATTAGGGTGCCAACTAAGCAAAAAAGAGGACGTGGCACTGCAATTAAAGAAGAGAGATGAGGAAATGGTTTCCTAGAGAAGAAACCATGTTTACGCGAGAACCAAGACACGAAGAGATGTGATTGGTAGGTAACGAAGAGAGAAGACATGTGATTGGACAAAATATTATTATCTAGAAACTATCCATTGAGAACATAGTTTCTACATATAGTGTCTACAGAAATTATTAAGTTTCTACATATAGTGTCTACAGAAATTATTAAGCATAGAAACTACCCGTGGTTTCTAGCATTGGGACTGCCCCAACTATTTTGAGAGATCATAATAAAGTCAATCCATTGTTTGAAAAACAACAATAATATAGTCAAAAGTAAATCTTTGTCAAAATTTGCGCACTACAAAGCTTCCTTTTTGATAAGGTAGTCCAATAGGAAGACAAGATATCAACTCACCTCAGATACTCTAAGTATAGCCTTTCCAGTCCCAGAAGGAACCTTTTCACTGTTAGAATTATCTGTTGCTGATATTGCATGTTTGCAGAACAGTTCTCTGTATCTCTCACAGCAATGCACAGGATGATGATATCTTCCCCTATAGGACCCACCTGGCAAGGAATGAAGAAAATCACTTGCCAATTCCCAAAGAGGACCATACTCATGCACAGTTCCACAAAGAACTGCATCTTCCTCAGATGTCCATGAGTCTGAAGCACAATCTCGAGACCATATTCCCTTCCTTTTCAATCTCTCAGGCTTTATTACAATAACCCGTTTTACTGGCATGCAGGGGATGGAAATTCTGCCATCACTTTTAGTTCTAGCCATTGATTTTGGATCTGAATCATTGAGATCCTCCTTCAGCCTAGGTGACAAGGCTTCAGAAATAAAACTTGACTTAGTAGTTTTCTTAAACTTCTTTAAACTTCTGCTGTTACTATCTTCCTCAGTAGCAGACATAATCTTCTTACGCTTGTTAGAATAATGGTGTGGCGATTCATCACTTATAAGCTCAGGTGAGGGTGCATTGTCATCAATGCTCATTGTATCTACAGAGGTTTCCTCCAGTACGACTTCTGATTCAGACGACAAACGCACTCTTTTCAGGGACTTGAATTTGCCTGTCTTTTTTTGTTCTTTTTTTGACTTTCTCACGGTGACTGCTGTAGATGAATGCCAAAATGTATAGTCAATAGTATATCAAAGGGAAGCTATAGTCTAAGCAAAAAAAGTCAACAGCCACAAAAACATCCATTAGAAATAATGTGGGCACATAGCATGCTAATACCGCCAATTGACACAAAAGTGAAGTGCAACTGAAACAAAACAAAAGAAAAATTTACTACCACTGTTGTGTTTCAGGAAAATAAATTTCCATTCAGTACCTCATATTATCATTCTTCTCCTCCAACTCTTTTGCTGCTTCCTGGGCCTGTCTTTCCTGTTCTTCCAACAACTGCATGTATTATAACAAGTCAGACTAAAAGGCACTGTGTTTCAAGTGAGACACGAAGAATACAAGTTATCAAGTCAATAAACGACCTGCTTTTGAGCTAAAGCCTCAACATGTTGCCGATAGGCTGTTGTAGCAAAATCAACATCCCATGCTGCAATAAATAAAGATGATGTCAATATTACTAAAGCATAAAAAAGGAAGGATACCTACATTGAGGTGAAAACAAAGCTCCAGCTAAAATGCAGAAAATGCCAACACGACAAAGAACAGAATGTTCCAAAGTGGCAAAAAGGAAATTATTGCAGACATAAAATACTTACATTCATAAGACAGTGGTTCTTGGTCTTCATCAATTTCTGCTTCCAAATCCTCTTTGAGTTTTTCAATACGATCAAGCTCCCATTCTTCCTCCTCAACATTTACTTGATGATTCACAGCAGCTTTGTCAATTACTGGATCCCAGAGTTCCATAAAGCGCATTGCATATCTATCAATTGGCCGGAGCTGGTTCTCAAAAGATGAACTTGCTTGCCCTGCTGCAGCTGCTGCAGCTGCCATCTGTTTCACATCAGCAAGCATGTCAGTATCTTCATCACCTGCCAATGTAAGAGCCTTTTCATCGCTCAATCGCTTGGTAGACAAAGTAATGTGCTTCTCCTTCTCTACATCAGAAGAGTTGTATTTGTGTTCTTCATTAATGTGCTCATCAGGTTTTCCATCCTCCTCATTAACCAATTCATCCTCCTCTGGTCTGCCGGCAACCTCCTCACTGAATTCTTGATTGTCCACGGCTTCTTCCTCCTCCAGCTTCTTGAGAGCCATATAGTCAGCTTCATCTTCTGCCTGTCTGATAGCTGCTTCAACATCTGCATTTGACAGAGCCAGATCCACATCATTTGAAGCTCCCGCGGTTGTAGAGCAATTCTTCTCCTGATCTTCCGCATGGAGAGACGTGTGCCCGGAAAAGAACTCCATAGGATCAAGTTTCTTGAAGAATTCCGTATTGTAGCTACCACGTTGTATCACTAAATCATCAAGAGCTCGTTTCTGATTTGCTTTCTTGAGAATGTTCTCCTCTATAGTGCTTTCACTAATGAGTCTATATATGTGAACTTCACGAGTCTGACCAATCCTGTGGCATCTGTCCTGTGCTTGTAGGTCCATTGCAGGGTTCCAGTCACTGTCATAGAAGATCACAGTGTCTGCACCTACAAGGTTGATTCCCACACCACCACTACGAGTGGACAAAATGAAAAGGAAAAACTTTGGGTTTGTGTTGAACCTCTGCATCAGAGTCTGCCTCTCTTCAGGGGAGTAGAACCATCTAAACGTAAATATGTATACCCATATAAATTTATGAACTCTTCCAAGACGTCAAGCATCTTAGTCATCTGAGTAAATATCAAGGCCCTGTGCCCTTCTGACTTCAAACGCCTTAACAGAATTGCAAGTTCCTGCAACTTCCCACAATCAAACTGGATCAAACGCCTATCAGGAAAGTAGACTTGACGACGAACAATAGCAGACCTTATAGGAGACAGAGTGGGAGAAAACTTGTTCATGCATTTTTCTCTATATTCCGGATCAATAAAAACAGGAGACTTTCCTTTGCTGCACCAGCAAACAGGTGGAGGAGCTCGAGCAGCAGGAATTGCGAATGTAAATGATTCAACAATATCAAGCATTTTCTGAAAGCGTTCCACAGATGGAAGAACAAGATCTGCAAGGCTTGATGAATAGCCCAAGTGGCACAAAGGGTTGTTCCTCTTATCAAGAATATCTGATACAGGATGATTTACAGTCAAAACATGTCTCGTGTTTGTGCCATAGACAGGCCTCTTTTGGCATCTAACCTATTCCACCATGCAATGGAAGCTGCCCTTTCTCTGGATTCCTTTATTCTCTCCTCCTGTAGGGCTTTCTGAATATCTTCAAAAATGTTTGTCAAATTACTTCCCTCATGATCCTTATTAGAGCAAAAAATATCCAAGTCACAATTCCTGGAGGTGATACTTGAAGGAAAGGCAGAGATGACCTCGTCAGCTTCCCAGGAACTCATGCTAAATTCATTTTGAGTAAACACAAAATTCATATCAGACAGGTCCACCTGAGAAAATGGACTCTTATCAAGGAGCATGCAGACTGAATAGCTGAGCTGCATGTTAATCCCAGCCATATCAAATGAGCTTATTATTGGGCGACCTTCAAAAAGATCTGGATGGTTACAGACCTTTCTAAGTTGCATAATGATGCTTATCATGCCAAAATAATTCCCACTTGCCAGTGTTGCTTGTGTCTCTGAGCTAGCGATAAAATCTTCATACAAGTTCCTTTGCCTTCTAGAAAGTCGGCAATATATGACATGCTCATGCTTCCTTGGTAACTGTTTCTCAACATCCCTTTTCAGTCGGCATTTAGTATAAATGGACGAAGGACATTGTGCAATCGATCTATAACTTCTTTGTTTACTTTATCTTGGCCTTCCACCATCCCAGAAATTGGATTGCAGAACCAATCCTTGAACTCTTGATGAGACTGAAATACATGAGGCATCAGAAAATGCATGAGGGACCAAAGTTCCATAAGGTCATTTTGCAGTGGAGTTCCAGTCAGAAGAATACGTCTCTTTGAATTAAAGTTGAGCAAAGTCTGCCAACGCTGTGATTTCCAGTTCTTTATCAGATGAGCCTCATCAAGAATAAGATACTTCCACTTTTTTCGCTTAAACACTTTAGAGTCCTGAATGACAAGCCTATATGTTGTGATGCAAACATGGAAGTAATTTGGTTTCATCCAGCCCTGACGTTTCTGCTTTCTCTCCTTTGCACTTCCGAAATAAGTCAGTATTTTAAAAGCAGGACACCACTTAAGAAATTCAGTCTCCCAATTTAGCATAACACTAGTCGGCACGACAATAAGATGAGGACCCCATATCCCCTTCTCACACGCAAGGTGTGCAAGCAAGGAGATAGTCATGATTGTCTTGCCTAAACCCATTTCGTCTGCTAGAATTCCATTAAGCCTCTTCTCATACATAGCAACCAACCAATCCAGCCCTATATGCTGGTATTCACGAAGAGAATGCTTAAGAAGGAATGGGAATTTCGTGCGCACTTTTGTAGTCAAGAAGGTGTTGCCAGTTGGTTGTGCTAATCTTGCAGCAGCTGCAGCATCAGCAATTACATCATCACTCTTATCTCCATGGACTGCCTTAACATCAGTGAGATTATTCTCTTCCACAAAATTTTGTTGAGCACAAGGCTCTGATGCAATTTCTGATTGTAATGCCTCCTGCTCAGTTTCCACCACATCGATTTCTGATTGTAGAGCCTTGTGCTCAGTTTCCAGCACATCCCTGGATTGGTGATCCACAAATATATCACTTTTCGCTTCCAAAATGTTCACAGATTGATCATCCAAAGACATGTCAGTATTGACCTCTTCAACAAAATGGGGTGAATTCTCCAACTCCGCTGTTTCATGATCTGCACAGCCATCCTAAATATAAAAAAAGGTATTACAAATGGACCACAGTAATTTGTTTGAAGAAAGCAATGAAAAATCTAACTATACCTTTCGGTTTTCTCATGAGAAGTTCTTCTAGTGGTATCTCACTCTCCTTCTGCAGTAACTTAATCTACAATTGAAAGGACATATGATCACCAAAAAATAGTTAGCAGAACCCTTTTGGAACATATGGAATTGTGAAACCAATAGCTAGAAAAATTGGGAGAGTATTTGCAATTAATGTATAAAATTACTCCTAGTCCGACTCCAACCTCTGAAGCCTTTAATGAAAACAAGAATTTGGCTACATAAATTCTAAATGGAGGAATGCTGACCACCAGGGCCCTCTGCATAGACCAGTATAATGTCACATTTGCTTTTAGACATGGTTCTATTGGATAATATCATGGTTATTAAGGCGGTATATGAGGCGTGGCAGTGACTACCGCCTTACACTAAGCGACTAAAGCGTGAGGCGAGGCAACGCCTTCTTAATTTAAGAAAAACTTAAAACAGCAACTTAGAGCAGTAGATGATGAAGAAAAAAGAAAAGGAAAAGAGGAAAAAGAAAAGAGGAGTAAGAAGTGGGCTGGCCCAGTCCACCAGGCGGCCCATGTGCCCGTCCCCCTCCTGGCGTGGCTTATCCTAATCCCCTCCAGGGCTCTCTCTCGTTCTCCACCACTCATTCCGCCTCCATTCATCCCTCCACGGCGCCGCTTCCCTCTGTTGCTCTGCCATCTCCGTTCATCTCTCCGCTGCTCTGCTCCCCTCCCTCGCTGCTCCCCTTCCAGATCTACAGCTGCCACCGTCCCCTTCCAAATCGAGCAGACGGCGGCGAGGAGATGGTGGAATCGAGCGGACGGCGAGGTAGAGAGGCAATGGAATCGAGCAGACAGCGGCGAGGAGAAGGCAGAATCAAGCGGAATCGATTTAGGAGACGGGCGGAATCGAGGGGAGTCAGCATCTTGATAAGAGCGAAGGCAAGCGCGCCTTACCCTAAGGCGAGCATGGAGCGCCCGACGCTTTAAGCGACGCCTTAATAACATTGGATAATATATAATATTTATATGATCCTACTGATTTAAATATGCACCACATTGTTAGTCGTGGTGGTCTTTCATTCAATTCGCTAGTATCTGTTCAGCAATCAAATAACAAACCCTAGAATTCGGGTTTAACGTTTAAATGCCAGTTTGATGTGTGTGTGTGTTGTATTGTGCTGGCAGAGAGAGAGAGAGAGAGCTTGCTAAGTTTCAGAAAACAAAATACTGTTAGCCCCAATAATTGCAGAAATATAAGGGTATTTTCCTAAACAGTCAGCCAAATGGATGCATCACTACTTCCTCATGCACAAGATATAATCAGATCCTTATCAAAACTTAAGGGCTGTGCTTTTAATTGGGATTCACACAGTAACAAACTTGTGTGACTAAAGGAATCTTTGTATGTTCTAAACTAACATAAAAAGACTGTGGAACCAAAGGTGGTAGCAGATAGCCCAAACAATCTATTTAATTAACTTAGCCTCTTGACATTCCCAGAATTAATGTCCAGAACCAAAAAAAATGAAGCGAACTTCAGAAAAAGAAATCGATAGCCTTGCATAGTTACACATGATAACAATGCTATTGAATCAGTTTTCAAGACCACGCTAAGTTTACGCTCCGTGCAATAAAAATTGAACTCACTTCAGCATGACAATGCAAACAATTCAATGATGTTATGGATTGATGGCAGCAATCACCTCTTCCAGATGATCAGGATCTTCTTTCTTTGCCAATTCTTCCTCTTCAGACAAAGTTGTTTCATCATCCTATCAGAGATGATCATATATTATGTATCACGAGACAGCAGGACTCAATATACATGACAACTTTACCAGATGGCTATAGTTTTCCGATTTTTCTTCAAGTATAAACTCCAATCCAGGTAGTATGGGCGTAATGGAAAAACTAGGGAACAAGAAAGCAATGAGGAAACAAGATGAAAAAGGCAATGCTACCTTTACTTCTTCAGCAGCAATGTAATCTTCGTCCTCCTGAAAAAAGAATATCGTGAGTTACATTAACCACACAATCGTAAAATAGCCAGATAGGAGTCCTAGAAAGCAGTTTTTTTGGCCACCATTCATCTTGTTGAGCATAAAAAACAGACCATTTGATCTTTACTAAGAAACCAAAGCTGAATATCCCCAACCTCCGGTGCAAATAGTGGAAACTAACATGTGTTGGGTTTGAAGACAACCTATGATGGGATGGGTCCTGTCCCCCCCGTTTGGTAGAAAAGATGAGGATGGATGGTGATTCCCATCCCAACCAACCACCGTTAGCGACACAGGTGTCGGCCACTGAGAAGCAGATATGGCCATGCCAGTGCCAGGAAGGTGCAGGACACCTCCCAAGGAAAGGCACACAGCAGCAGGAAGGTGCAGGCGCCCTTATCTTGAGCTTGCCCGGCCCCACTTGTTTTAAGCACGGAGACACGGAGATTGGAGGACAGAAGGCGGTGCGGGGCTTGATTTGCGATGGATGCAGCCAAGGGTAGTGCCATGAGCCTAACTGCGTAGAGGGCCGCGACAGGAAGGTACAGGGCACCGCGCCGGTGACACTCACGATGTTGATTGTAGCTAAATTTACTGGAATTTAAGCTTAAAATGTCCACATTAAGTAATCCAGAATGTATTGCATTTCTTTCTCTGCTCTTCCTCTACTTCTTAAAGGTTGTTAATGGAGGTTTAACTTTGAAAAGATAAACT